TATGATGTTTGTGATGTGATTTTACTCTGAGTGTGTATCCAACTTTATTTACTCCATGTTTGGAGCTATTTCTAAAGTAAAAATTCTTAACCCATTCTATTTATTTAAGACTCCAAGCTGCATGAGGGCTTACCATTACAATTGCCCTTAATCAACTGTATATGTTCTAGAGCCAGAAATTGTTATCCAAGACATAAAATCAGACATAATGTCATTTTCACCAACTCCGCAGTATTTTGGTTATGGTAAAGTCCGATTATCTTGCAATGGGGAAGGAAACAACTTAACACGTGTTTATTGGAACAGTACAGACGACAACGGCAACAGTATCATTTTCAATACAACTAGCTTGGATCATTATAGTGGTGGACTATGGCAAGCTAAATTGGCGTTTAAACCAAACCCTGTAAATGTATCGTATACCTACAAATGTATTGCCGAAAACAAATGCTGTCCAACTAAAATATCTGATCCGCTAAAAATTTCTTATAATCCAGCATTCGGTAAGTTTCTCCATACCAAGATAATAAAAGTTTTGTTTTATTGTATAACCTAAATATACTCTACATTGCTTTACTTTAGCTTTTCTAGCCAGCTTTCTTTACGCATTTTTCCTCTTGCGACAGATAAAAATAAACCAAGACATTTTAAGAAATCATCAACGGATGACATTCACGGAAAATGTTATATAGGTGTTTTGAAATTTTGGAAAAAAATTTTTGGGGACTTGTCGGGCAAAATCCGGAAAACTTGGGCAAATTTCTTGCCGCCCCCCTAAATTTTTCCTTTCGGTACGCCCATGGTTCCAGCCTTTCATCATAATTATCAGACGAGGCAAATATCTGCGTATAAACCCGGAGTTGTAAATTTTAAATATTGCGCCAAATAATTAATATATAATAAAAACATCAAATGACCAAGAATGGACCCCCGCGGCACACCACTTTCTATAGATTTCCAAGAGGATATATGGTCATTTACACAGCAAACTTGCTGACGATCAGTCAAGTAAGAGGTAAACCAATTCAATTCATTTTCACGAATACCAAACTGGTCTTTCATTTTTGACATTAAGTTTTTTTTCATCACGTTTTTTATCATGACATTAAGTTTTTTTTCATCACGTTTTGGGCTTTGCTCGGGGACAACCTAAATTGAAATAGCTGTATGTAGCCTATACGTATATGTATACCTGTATTTGGATGCATATATATTAGAGGTGAGCATCAGATCGGATTGAACGTTTCTAATCCGACAATCGCCTAATGTTTAAAATCCGAACCGATCCGAAATTGTCTAGTCCGAATCCGATCCGAGTTTTAAAAAAGAATTTCAGTACGATCCAATCCGAAGAATTCTTTAATAAAATAAATTTCTCATTCAAGTTGAAATATTTAACCAAATAAATATTAAAGCAAGAAATACATGTCAAGAAGCTGACAACGTGATGTCCAATTGAAGTATCAAACGAATAATGCTGCGACAACCGCGATGATGCTTTGATAGCTGCATGGATAATTAATTGTTGCGATATTGCGTGGATAATTAATTCATTTTATTTCGGATGTCGAAGTCCGATCCGATCCGACTACGAAATAACTTTATCAATCCGATCCGATTCCAAATGAATATTTTGGTACGTTCCAAAATCCGAACGAATCCGATCGGTTCGGATCCGGATTGGTTTCGGATCGGATTTGAACACCTCTAATATGTATATATGCATATATCAGTGTGTGTATGTGTGTGTGTGTGTGTGTGTTTCTAAATAAATGACTTAAATATATGACAAAATAGTTTGGTTTGTATTTGAACAAAATGATAGTTTAAATGATAGTGTGGTTTGAGTTTCCAAAATGTCATTTTTATTCTGCTTTGCAGTTTGCAGTGAATCTGGTACCTTTGGTGTTTCGAAAGAACTATACGAGATAATCACTATTCCAAGTAAACGTTCAGTTAAAATTTCTTGGAAGTACGATTCTGATCCTGAAGACACAGGTTTGGTAATATCAGGTATATCTCAAGACAAAACATTCAACATCACTGTACAGGAATACGTCTTTCATGACTTAGGTAATTATATTTTATATATTGCATATCTTTCAGCTATTAGCCAGCTAACAGGGCAACCACGCTCGATCTATATTTAGCTGAACTACAGTTAATGCGTTAATTAACTGCTATATATAGTAGAGTGAATAAGCCAACCAGAACCAACAATTAAGAATATTGTCTGACACATAGCATACACTGCGATTCTGAAGCTCACTTGCTAAACCAACGCCTGTTGCGAGCTTATTGCAGGCCCATATATTAATGTCCAGCGTACTTCGTTGTACGCATGCGCTTTATGTGCCTTTTATTGTTTCATGGCGGCCCAGTGCACTTCCCCTTTGGGAAATAAACTAGAAATTTGTACTTCCTTAAGCAACTAGAAGATTTCTACCTAAATGAAGTACGATTTCTTGAGAGGGAGTTATCCGAGAGTTAAAAGACGGCAATCTTTTCCGTGCGACTTCAGAGAGTCCGCAGCAGGAAGTAATTTCTTTGGAAGTTTCCAGACTTGTGTTCTTGACGTCACTGGCTTACAGTATCTCGGACAACGAAGTACTGGAGAAATTTCCGCTTTATATTTGTGAAGTGCAAACTCTGCGTCGCTTATGTAACATTTTTGGAAAGGGTAATTAGGTAAGGAGATTCAATTCTTTGGATTTTACGTTTATTATTCCATTTTATCCTGTCGTAGAGAATTTTGTTTATGAATTACCTCAGTGTACCTCAATTGAAATCTCAATGGGCCAGCTTGTTCTTTCTATTGAACATAAAGGGAACAATATGAAATGTTTGATACCTTATGGTGGGTCAAATCTGGGTGAAGATGATATACCTTACCAGATAGCTTTTCTCTTCGCACTATTGAAGTTGATGGTGATACATTACAACACCCTCAATACAAAGGGTCAGGCACATTAAAAGTTGAGAAGGGATATAACTTTGTGTACTCGTTTGTGTACATGATATTTCTATTCCTGTTGAAGAGTTGGTGCTATAACTTAGTGAATTCCTCTTGTATGTATGCCTTAGGTGGGAGTTCGGGAGATTTCAAATGATTGGCCAGTGCATATAAACTATGAAGAATCAAGTTTTTCACAATAAATAATACTATATATACAATACTATATATACAATATTAATAATAATATATAATGCAAATATACAATTATATATAAACTATGATTCGCTTGTTTTTAACGTTTAATATGCAATGTGCCGCCATATACACCCTCTAGCTACTTTAGAATCTCACTCTGGCTAGCGGCATGTGATTTTACGCAGCAAGGAAAGTGTTTTGTGTGTTAAATGGTTAGTTAATCTATCTGCCAAAGCATCTTGCTAACTATGCTAAATGTATCTGCCAATGTTTCTTGTTAACTATACAAATAAATGCATCCTGTTAACCCTTTAACACACAATGCACCCCATGCACCCTACTTTAGCATTCTACTCTGCCGAAATTAAGCCAGACGATTTCATTCCATTTCATCAAGGGTAGAGTTAACTGTCTTCATCATCAGACTCGTCAAATTAGATCGCTGGTTGGGAGGGTGCATAGGGCAATGCTTGTTCTTCTTTGTATGACGTTTTTTATGACAAGCAGAGAACATTTGACATCCCGAGTTGGCGTAAACACATTTTCAGGATAGTGGAAATGTTTGGTACGAAACATCTTCATTATGTATAATAATCTCCTTTCATCACGGTTTGTGCAACCCTACTCCATGGTCTTTACCATCTTGTTAATGTGCTCTGATGCAACACATGAAATGTACCCATAGCCCTAACCCAGCATTCCAAATGGAAACTTCATTTGCTTTCCAATGTGATCTCTCATAATATAAAAATATGGTAGCTTAGCTTAGCTGTACATTGTACAGGCCTATACTGGTTCATCTTCAGAAAGAAATTGTCGGACCTGGCCTGGAATGAGCCCCATCTGGCAGCTGTTGATTTAAGATTACACAGGTCCCTAAGGGTAAGATGTTATCAAAAGACAGGTTTATTCATTCAGTATGCTATATCACCGCAATGGACAATTAAAATCAATTAAGTTGCTATCTAGAAATCAACTTGAAACTAAATTAAAAGGTCAAGGTTGGTATCTACATATACACATTGCATTTTAATTGAATCCGAATGAACACTAATATAACCTTTACAAGTAATCCTTCACACAAGCGTCTAAGTTTATACCTGGCTAGATCATTAAACTTTTCATATAAATGGTGAAGTTGTCTTATCTCCAAGAAACTGTTATGGTCCCAAGATTCGGTCTGCTGAAATTAAAACAGTCATGAAATAAGTATTCGTATTGTTGCAAAAAGAAAACTGTGTACAGTAATTTTAATCTATTATATAACTTTGCACAGTGGTGAACTCATGAACAGGCTTGGGTGTTTAAAAATCAACCCAGACCTGAAATAAATGCAAGCAATCTTGAAATTTTTACCTTCAATAAGTGATTGAAATTTTTTTTCAATTTTCTTCGAGCATCTTGCAATCATGACCAACCATCTTTAAGGTGCTGCTTCCATCATAGTACTTGTGTTTACTGAAAATATTTGACTGCATGCAATAAGTGTTTATTGAATAATGTAGAACAGCATTTTTCTTACACACACCTCTTCAAATATAACTTGTCCGACAACAAGCTTAAGTGGAAAAAATCCACAATATTTTTGCACTCCTGTTCGATATAAAACATTATTTAAAATGGCAGCCATAAAATTGGTCCACATAAGCCCAGGGATTATAAACAGTACAGTAAATGCAGTATAATATGATACAGTGTAAGTATTAATTACACTAGTTTTAACACCTTTCCTGGTAACTTTCAATCTGATAAGGAAGGTACCCACAGTTTATTGTTCTTGGTGGAACAGGAATTTGAGATTCTTGCCCCTTTTTTGAAAGTATTTCAAAGAGCATCTTCTACAGATATCTATTAAATGCAGACCACATGGTAGGAGTTACGCAGCTCTCACTGAATGCGGTAAACAGAATATATTATTATAATAATTATGAAGAACTGGCAGAATGTATTATTATAGTACTTCATACACAATACAGGCATGACTAGTTTTACAAAAATATAATAGACAGTTTGAAATTTCTGTTATCCCAAGGATGCCAGATGTTCAGTGGCGCCGCCAGCTCGATAATTGAGGGGGGGGGGGGGCAATAT